CAGTGGCCCTTCTTACCTGGTAAAATAAAAAAACTAGGTTTTAAATAGTTTAGTTTTTAGGCACAGCCCTGCAATTGCTTGCTCCGTGCCACTGCTGGCGGTAAGGCGGTCCAACGAGAGGGACCTTTTAGAGAACCTGCTCTGGACTGTATTTGGCCTACTCTTCCACACTGACTAGACGTCGTGGAAGATGTGGATTAAGGTTTAAATACAACTTGCACCAGTTTGAACTGCCGTTCCGGGAGATCGACTCGAATTAGCGACCTCTGAATTTTAAATCCATATCGCTGACCATGACTCCCCACCGCAGTATCCGAATCAGAATATTTATTCATACTGGAGGAATCCAGATGATATATGGAGCTCATTTTTCACGGATGAACCACCCCATCTCAAAGGTTACACAAAATCGGGTCAATCGACGTACCCGCTGTGGAGAGATGCAGAGCATGTAATTACACGGAGAGGCGAAGAAGGAAGACGTGGATTCGAGAACACACGCAGGATAATGGCAGCAGCAGCAGCATCATCATCATCCAAGCTGTTAACAATTGCGAGTGAGGCTTGGGCAGGGAGGGCTCGACAATGGTCGGAAGGGAGCGACTCCCCGTGGGTCAAGACTAAGAGCGGAGCGGCAACCAAGGGAGTGGAAATGTGCCTTGAGTGAGGACGTCCACCGGGGAGATGGAGTGAGAATCGCCTCTCGGTGTTGTGATGCACGTGCTGGGTGGATGATTGTTGTTGTTATGATGACATCGTGGGACCGTGAGGGATGGCGATGGCTTTTGCCTGCTGTCAACAAACATTTACGATTTTTATTTTATTCTACTAGATAAGGCCCACCGAGCTATTTAGCTCTTTTTCAGAAGCGATCTGGCCACAGATGATGTTGAAATTTAAAGCAGCCAGATACTCTAAATGTTTCTAAATGTGGATGTAAAACCCGCAGGACCCGGAGAAAGATCCACGTAACCATGGGGAGAGACACGAAAACTCCAAATGTACAGCAGCCGTCAGGGTCTGGATCGAACCCACGACCTCCTGGATACCAGGCGAGATGGTTGATAACGTCGAGTCACCATGGCGCCTTCTCACATCTGGTATCATAACCTAACAACCGTCATTCACCACTAAGTGGAAGTGACGCCACCACGGCACCTGTGCCAGGCTAGGTGCACTTTGAGGCCACGTGAAGTATCGAAGGCCCGCTGGCAAGAGGTCACGGAACAGACCCAGGTGCCATGGGTTGACTGACCGAGATGACTGGCAGATGCACCACCTGTGCCCCTTACTGAGCCAACTCTCATCCCTTTAGCCGCCCGGAGCTCTGCTCGTCGTTGTGAGCGTCGCTCCTCTGTCCTCCGTTGTTGCTGGAGGGCGACTGCCTTCAACTGACCAGTAGCGACGTCCTTCACGAGCCTCCTCCACAGAGGTCGATATTGACACAGCTGGTACCAGTCGTCGGCAAGTCCACTCAGCTCCACATCCTTCTGTAGCGCATCAGTCCACCTCTTCTCTCGCCCATGCGGTGCCCTTTTAGCCCCCTCTGGTATCACAAAGACAACACGGATTATAAGACGAACCCCAGACGTCTGCTTTAAAATTAATATGGGGATGGGAGGGGGAGCGAGTGCGTCTTATAATCTGAAGAATACGGTACCTGCGACCAGGGCTGCGCTGTGCGTGGTAACGGGCACGCAGGAGCTGTGTGTCACGAGTGTGGGCAGCGTGCGTGACACGTGTGTGTGTGTCAGGATGCCACGTGGTGTGAACTCCACGAGATTGGCAACCACAATGATTAGAATGGTGGGGTGTGGAGTGGACTGGGAGTGTCGGTGTGAGCGTGTGTTTGATGCTGCGCGTGAAGGGGAGCGGTAGTGTCGTGGTTACCGAGCTGCACTACCAACCCGGTGACCCGAGTTCGATTCTCGCTCAAGGCCAACACCGGTGACGATTATCTGAACCGGTCCTGGGCCTCCCCTAGGTCGACTCAGCCTCTAATCAGTACATGGTGCGGTGTGTGAACATTGCCACTAGGGAGAAAGAGGCGGCCGGGCGTGGTTGTTGGCCACCCACCCCCTCGTGTGCCGTGCCGGCCTTCATAGGTGCTCGCTAACAGCACTTGCCCCTACAGTCTGTAAAGGCTACACAGGAGAGCTTTGTCTTTGATGCTGTGTGTGATGGGTGTGCGCGTGATGGGTGATGCCGCTGCTACATCAACTGCTGATGATGTTGCTACTGGTGATGGTGCGCCTTATGCTGCTGCTGCTGATGTTCAGGATGATAATCATCATCAGTGTAATACTGCTGCTGATGATGATGCTCAGGATAATCATCATCATCAGTGTAATACCGCTGCTGCTGATGTTGATGATGAAATTGTGACGGCATGCTTTGACGCGGTGACGTCACGGACATCACGGCTCTCGTATTCACAGGGATGACCTCACCCCCCATCCTCACTGCCCCCCCCCTCACCCCGCCCCTCACCCACCCCCTCACCCCGCCCCTCACCCCCCATCCTCACTGCCCCCCCTCACCCCGCCCCTCACCCCCCATCCTCACTGCCCCCCCTCACCCCGCCCCTCACCCCCCATCCTCACTGCCCCCCCCCTCACCCCCCATCCTCACTGCCACCCCCTCACCCCGCCCCTCACCCCCCATCCTCACTGCTCCCCCCTCACCCCGCCCCTCACCCCCCATCCTCACTGCCCCCCCCCCATCCTCACTGCCCCCCCCCTCACCCCGCCCCTCACCCCCCATCCTCACTGCCCCCCCCATCCTCACTGCCCCCCCCCTCACCCCGCCCCTCACCCCCCATCCTCACTGCTCCCCCCTCACCCCGCCCCTCACCCCCCATCCTCACTGCCCCCCCCATCCTCACTGCCCCCCCCCCTCACCCCGCCCCTCACCCCCCATCCTCACTGCCCCCCCTCACCCCCCATCCTCACTGCCCCCCCCCTCACCCCCCATCCTCACTGCCCCCCCATCGCCCCCCCTCACCCCGCCCCTCACCCCGCCCCTCACCCCCCATCCTCACTGCCCCCCCATCGCCCCCCCTCACCCCGCCCCTCACCCCGCCCCTCACCCGCCCTTCCTACTGCAGAAATAAACAAAACAACGCACACAAAGACAAAGGTCCCCCGTGAATCCTGCGCAGGCTGTTGGGGCAAGCGCTGTCAGCGAGCGCCTATTAAGGTCGGCGCGGGGCTCGGGGTGGGGTGGGGGGAGGGGTCCAGACACACAAATACAGACAAAGCGACCCGTGTAGCCTCTCGCAGGCTGTGGAACACAAACTGTCTTTGAAATACACACACAAAGACAAAGCTCCCCCATATAGCCTTTAACAGACTGTTGGGGCAAGTGCTGTCAGCGAGTACCTGTGAAGGCCGGCACGGCACACGAGGGGGTGGGTGGCCAGTGCCACGCCCGGCCGCCTTTGTCTCCCCAGGGGCGATGTTTACACCCTGCACAGATACACCACGCCCTTCTGCCCGGCGCACAGAACAACAACCACCACCAAAGGCAAAGCTAAAGCTCCGCCGTATAGACTTTAACAGACTGTAGGGGCAAGTGCTGCTAGCGGGCACCTATGAAGGCCGCCACGGCACACGAGGGGGTGGGTGGCCAGCAACCACGCCCGTCCGCCTTTGTCTCCCTCGTGGCGATCTTTACACATCACCGCACCAGGTACTCATTTGAGGCTGAGTCGACCTAGGGGAGGCCCATGTACCTGTTCAGATATTCGTCACCGATTATTGGTAGCCGTGAGCGGGAATCGAACTCGGATTGTGGGGTTTGTAGTGCAGCGCGCTAACCGCCGCACCACCGCTCCCCACAACAACAACAACAACCACCACCGCTCCCGCGTGATATCTGCGGACCTCTCATTCTATGAGTGCTCGCGATTCAATTACAGAATCCATGTTACATTTATATTTTTAAAACACTGTGAATGTAGCAGCTTCAAGTGGCCGGATAAGGTCACGTTAATATATTTATATAACCAACATCATCAGCGGTCATGGTAAATTCACTGCTGTCACTCTAAAGAAGAACCATTGCCCGAAACGTCGCCTATTGCATATTTTATTTCTCAGTAGGGACGGGTACGAACGTCACAAGACATCTGGAGCACACTGCTAAGTCGGATTGTTATTCGCGCTATGGCCCGTGCGCGTGTGTCCGTCTCGTCTGTGGAAAAGCGCTTCATAGCTCATCGGATTCCTCCAGTGCAATCTGCGGAAGAACGTAATCAACCAGGCGGGGTGTTGACTGTTATGTTTGCCGACTCTCTGTGACGGACGCTGAACGTCTGTCGCGCCGCACGTGGCCAACCGCGCTCGTGTCGGAGGTTCGGATGGCTCTTTCATTTGTACCTGATGATGATTGCGTGTGTTGCAATCGAAACGTCGTATGCTATAATTGAATTTATTGTTCTTTCTACGTGACTTTACCGAAAGAACCAAAGAGTAATTCCTACAGTCACGAAAGCTTCAAATGAAGTTTGAGTCTCGATGGACTCGATGCGATGGACGAGTCCTGCAATTCGCAGGAACAGGATCATTGCATCACGCGCTAAAGGTTGGTGGCAGTGGGGGAGGGAGGGGAGGGAGGGGGGATTTCGAGGGCAAGGGGGGGGTGAGAGGTTATTGTGTGGGGGCGAGATAATGGGGGGGGGTTAAGAGAGTGGTGGGGTGGGGGGTTGTTGGGGGGGGGGGGGAATGGGGATGAGAGGCTAGGGATAGGGAGGGGTGGGATAATGGTGGGGGAAGACAATTGAAGACTTTGGGATGGCAATTGAGGAGGGGGTGGAGAAGTCTGGAGCGGGGGGGGGGCATTGTGTGTGGGGTTAATGGAGGGAGGAGATGTGCGGGATGTTGGATGGGAGTGCGGTGGGATGCTAATGGACGGGTGAGGAGGAGGAGGAGCGGGAGGTGGGGGGGGGATGAGGGAAGGGGGGTCAGGGTGGATGGGGGGGGCGTCACATCGCGCTCGCCGCTCTCATTCCGCGCACGTTCCGCCTCCCTCCCAGCGGCAGGTGCAGCAGCAGCAGCGGCAGCAGCGGCAGCAGCGTCGCGTTTCGCTCCTCCGCCCGTGGGCCGCCTCGAGCCGTCGACTGGAACGACGCCTCCGTCACGTGGTGCCCCCCCCCTCGCTCGTCCGTGCGCGGTGCTGCGCGCATCGCCATCAGCAACATCAGCACCGCCGTCACCACGCCCCACGCCTCTGTCGCGAGCATCTCCCCCTCCTCCAATCGTCGTCGTCGTCATCATCATCATCATCCCTATCACTGGCACCTTCACCACCACCATCACAACCGTCAGGTCCATCACCAACCGCAGCACGCATCTCCGATTCACATCACCCATCATCCTCACTCACATCCTTCATCGTTACCGACTTCGTCACACACGCCCATCATCCATACACCCATCTCCATCATCACCAGCACCAAAATCATTCATCATCCATACACCCATCTCCATCGCCACACGCATTCACCTCCATCACCACCATCATCCATCACCCCATCGCTGCTTCCTCGCTATCTCTCATCTCGCTCTTTGCCCGCGGGGAGGGGGGGTAGGGTGGGGGTGGTGCCGGTCGAGACGCCGTGGCGATGTCGGCAGGAGAAGCGAGCTCCGCGCAGGTGGAGAATGGAGCCGAGGCGGCTGAGACGGCTGAGACGGGAGGAGCGGGAGGAGCTGGAGGTGTATCAGGAGGCGGTGGGGCAGGAGAAGCCCCCGTGGACCCCAGGGAGCTGGAGGAGGCGTTCCGTCGCTTCGCGCTGCACGGAGACCCCAAGGCGAGCGGCGCGGAGCTGAACGGCAAGAACTGGGCCAAGCTCTGCCGCGACTGCCGCGTGGCGGACGGGAAGCGCGTGACGGCCACCGACGTGGACATCGTGTTCTCCAAAGTGAAGTGAGCGAGCGCCACGGCACCCGCGGTGATGCTGATCGTGATGATGTTGGCGCTGCTGCTGATGATGTTGATCGTGATGCTGGTGGTGGTGATGCTGGTGGTGGTGATGTTGGTAATGGTGCTGTTGGTGGTGGTCACCATGGGGATGGTGGAGGCGGTGTACGAGGTGATGGTGTTAAGATGGGATCATGGTGGGGATGCTGATGGTGGTGGTGATGTTGGAGGTGGTGGGCCAGGTGTGGGGTTCCGGTAGTGTAGCAGTTAGTGCGCCGCGCTACGAACCCGGCAACCCGAGTTCGATTCCCGCTCACGGCCAACACCCAGTGACGATTATCTGAACCGGTCCTTGGCCTCCCCTAGGTCGACTCAGCCTCAAATGAGTACCTGGTGCAGTGCGTAAAGATCGCCACTGGGGAGACAAAGGCGGCCGGGCGTGGTGCTGGCCATCCACCCCCTCGTGTGCTCCTCGCTAACAGCACTTGCCCCAACAGTCTGTTATGGCTATACGGGGGACCTTTGTCTTTTGTATTGGTGGAAACGCTGATGGTGCTGGTGGAGAGAGCAACGATGGTGACGTTAGCCACCAATGACGACGTTGACATTAGACGATGGCTGTGGATGATTGATGATGACGATGCTTTTGACCTTATCCGCCACAAAGGTTGGCAGCTGACGACGATGTTGACGATGACGACGTTCGCCATTATGATGACGGTCTCCCTGCAACGATATCAATGTGACACTCCAGCCATGAAAACGACAGCAGATGACAACGGAGGGGGAGGATTTCATTCATCCAGCGGTGCATTGACCATGGCTGATGACAACGACATCGACGACGTTATCCACACATCGCAATTTAAATTAATCGCTTCCGGCGCGCCTGATTGGTCGGCTGTCGGTGCGCGCACGGACGGACGTTGACCTTCTTTCGCACCGCACGTGGCCAACCGCGCTCGTGTCCGAGGCTCGGATGGCTCCGTCGGTCCTCGGGCGCCGCCCTGCGGCAGCTGGGGCTGAGCCTGCGTCACGCAGCGATCGATTGATCGCTGCGTCACTCAGAGATCGATCGATCGCTGAAGCTCATGACGACAGCCACGTGAAAGAACGCGCGCGGCAATGAGCCGCAGCCGTAGGCGGTGGTGATGTTGGTGATGTTGTGGATGGCGATGTTGGTGATGTTGTGGATGGCGATGTTGGTGATGTTGGTGATGTTGTGGATGGCGATGTTGATGATGTTGTGGATGGCGATGTTGGTGATGTGTATGGCGATGTTGGTGATGTTGTGGATGGCGATGTTGGATGGTAGTGGGGAGCGGCGGTGTAGCGGTTAGCGCTACGCTGCGCTACGAACCCGGCGACCCGAGTTCGAATCCCGCTCGCGTCCAAGAGCGGTGACGATTATCGGTCCTGGGCCTCCTCCCCTAGGCCGACTGAGCCTCAATTGAGTACCTGGAGCGCTGTGTAAAAACATCACCACTAGGGAGACAAAGGCGGCCGGGCGTGGTGCTGGCCACCCACCCACCCCCTCGTGTGCCGTGCCGGCCTTCATCGGTGCTCGCTAACAGCACTTGCTCCTACAGTCGGTTAAGTCTATACGGGGATCTTTGTCTTTGCTTGGTAGTGGAGGCGGTGGAGGTCACCGTGCTGATTTTGGTGGTGATGTTGGTGGTGGTGCTGGTGGTGATGATGGTGGTGATGGTGGTGGTGATGGTGGTGCTGGTGATGGTGGTGGTGCTGGTGGTGATGGTGGTGGCGCTGGTGGTGGTGATGGTGGTGGTGCTGGTGATGTTGGTGACTTCTATATTTGGTGGAGGGTCGCTTCGTCCCTCACATTAAGCATCGCGGGTGCATATCATAAATATTTTTTTTAATCTTAATTATTGACTACAGAAAATAAATTAATAAAGGTTTCCAGTTTGCCCCCCCCCCCGCAAACTCCGCCCATGACAGAACCAACGAGCGGACCCCTCCCTCGCCACCAGCCTCATCCCCGATCAGAGACCCTCGACTCTCTCTCTGTGTGCCCCCCACTATCACCCCTCTGCTCCCCTCAATCTTCACTCCTCTCTCTCTATGCGTATGCGCCCCACCTTTATTTATATTAAACTAAAACTATTTTTGAAAATATTTGATTTTAGCAGGTAAGTCCCCCTTGCGCTACGTAGCACTCTGCTATCGCAAGTGGTAGCTCAGCCAAGTGGCTTGTCACCTAAACATGGAGAGCAGCAGCAGCAGCAGCCAAATCATTTAAACGCGTGAAGTTGATTCGTAATGTGCATGGACAAACCGGAGGACCTGGAGAAAAATCCACGCGACCACGGGGAGGGAGAGACACGCAAACTCCAAATACACAGCAGCAGGCGTCAGAGTAGGGATCGAACCCACGACCTCGTGTGTACCAGGCGAGGTAGTCAACATCCTTGCCTTGCCCCCCCCCCCCCCACTCTCCAGGGAGCGCACGGCGCGTGTCATCACGGTCCCCCAGTTCCTGTCGGCGCTGGAGGAACTCTCCCGCAAGCGCTTCCCCAGCCGCGAGCCGGAGCACGCGCTGAGGGGGGTCCACGGCCTGGTGGCGGGGGGAGCGCCCGCCATCGCGGGGGTCACGGTACGGCAACAACAACATCAACAACAACAACATCATCGTCAACATCATCAGCAATATAATCAACAATAACAACATCGACAACATGAACATCATCAACAACATCATCAACAACATCATCATCAACATCAACAACATCATCATCAACATGATGAACAACATCGTAAAAAACATCAACAACATCATTAGCAACATCAACAACATCATTAGCAACATCAACAACATCATCAACAACATCATCAACAACATCATCATCGTGAACAACATCATCAACATCAACAACAACACCCGCCAGGGTCACCCAGAACGAGGGGGTCATGCTGTGCCCCTGGGTCTCACCCAACCGCCCTGCCCCCTTCTGTCGCTCATCAACACGGGGAAGGGGAGGGGGGGGGATCTGCCCTTGGGGGGCTCCCAGAACCTAATGGGGGGCACTGACAATCACAACAACAACAACATGACAACAACATGACAACAACATGACAACAATAGCACAACAACAAACAGCGGCATAACCACGACACAATCACAACAGCGTGGACAACAGCATTACAAACACAACAACAACATCAACAGCACAATAGCAGAACCGTTACACGCTCAATCACATTACAAAATTAGTGAGTTAAACAATGTTTACCAGGTAAGGCCCGCTGAGCTGTGTGGCTAGTTTACAGAAGCGACAACCTGGCTTACTGGCTATCATCACCAATGATAGCCAAAGGAAGTGGAAATTTATCGCAGCCGAATACTCTAAATGCGTGACGTTGATTCTAAATGTGGAGGGAAAAACCGGAGGACCCGGAGAAAAATCCACAATACTTCACGCACGATAATTAGTGATGCACGATTGATGTTTTTTGGGGGGCTAAGGCCACGTAGCCATGCGACGCGGCCACCGTCACCCTTCACGCAATCGCTGGCGATGCTGAACGCCGGCGCGGCCCGACCCTGCAACTCCACTCACGTGCAACGCTCAGCAGCGTAGCGAGCATGGGGCAGGCACGGGGGGGTGCCTTGACCCCCCCCCGCCAGCGCCGGATGAAGTAAGTGCGAGGCCTCTAGCGAATGTTGTTATGAAGGGGCCCTACATAAAAAAAACATAAATATTAAAACACATCCACTGTTTAACTTGCATAGTAAAGTAATTGTGTTTTTTCATTTGCTATACAGCCAGGTAATACGACAAATCGCTAACCTTAAACACTCAGTCGTTCGTAAAAGTTGAAGGCGGTATAGTACTATAGTAGTAGAGCAAGTGCAGAATCACTGAACCGGAATTGGTAGCTTGGAACCATTTAGCGTGGGGCCCTTGAAAGTGCGGGGCCCGTAGCATATGTAGCTACTTGCATTATGTTATACAATAATTATATATGCATTGAATATACTTACTGGAATCAATGTCTATATTGTACTACACAAAGTAACCACCAGAGGGTGACATCGCATCGCTGCCCAAACCCCCGACTCGAATCTCTCGCTATCCTTAAATCGTCTCACCTGGTTAAATCATCTCACCTGGTTAAATCATCTCTCCTGGTTAAATCATCTCACCTGGTTAAATCATCTCTCCTGGTTAAATAGTCTCTCCTGGTTAAATCATCTCACTTGGTTAAATCATCTCACCTGGTTAAATCATCTCACCTGGTTAAATCATCTCTCCTGGTTAAATCATCTCACCTGGTTGAATCATCTCCCCTGGTTAAATCATCTCTCCTGGTTAAATCATCTCACCTGGTTAAATCATCTCTCCTGGTTAAATCATCTCATCTGGTTAAATAATCTCTCCTGGTTAAATCATCTCTCCTGGTTAAATCATCTCACCTGGTTAAATCATCTCACCTTGTTAAATGATCTCTCCTGGTTAAATCATCTCACCTGGTTAAATCATCTCTCCTGGTTAAATCGTCTCACCTGGTTAATTCATCTCTCCTGGTTAAATAATCTATCCTGGTTAAATCATCTCACCTGGTTAAATCAGCTCATCTGGTTCAATCATCTCACCTGGTTAAATCATCTCACTTGGTTAAATAATCTCACCTGGTTAAATCATCTCTCCTGGTTAAATCATCTCTCCTGGTTAAATCATCTCACCTTGTTAAATGATCTCTCCTGGTTAAATCATCTCACCTGGTTAAATCATCTCTCCTGGTTAAATCGTCTCTCCTGGTTAAATCATCTCACCTGGTTAAATAATCTCTCCTGGTTAAATCATCTCACCTGGTTAAATCGTCTCACCTGGTTAAATCATCTCACCTGCTTAAATCATCTCACCTGGTTAAATCATCTCACCTGAATAAATCATCTCACCTGGTTAAATCATCTCACCTGGTTAAATCGTCTCACCTGGTTAAACCATCTCACCTGGTTAAATCGTCTCACCTGGTTAAATCATCTCACCTGGTTAAATTGTCTCACCTGGTTAAATCGTCTCACCTGGTTAAATCATCTCTCCTGGTTAAATCGTCTCTCCTGGTTAAATCATCTCTCCCGGTTAAATCATCTCACCTGGTTAAATCATCTCTCCTGGTTAAATCATATCTCCTGGTTAAATCGTCTCACCTGGTTAAATCATCTCACCTGGTTAAATAATCTCACCTGGTTAAATCATCTCACCTGGTTAAATCATCTCACCTTGTTAAATCGTCTCTCCTGGTTAAATCATCTCTCCTGGTTAAATCATCTCACCTGGTTAAATCATCTCTTCTGGTTAAATCATCTCTTCTGGTTGAATCATCTCACGTGGTTAAATCATTTCACCTGGTTAAATCGTCTCGCCTGGTTAAATCATCTCACCTGGTTAAATCATCTCACCTGGTTAAATCGTCTCACCTGGTTAAATCATCTCACCTGGTTAAATCATCTCACCTGGTTAAATCATCTCACCTGGTTAAATCATCTCACCTGGTTAAATCGTCTCACCTGGTTAAATCATCTCTCCTGGTTAAATCATCTCACCAGGTTAAATCATCTTTTCTGGTTAAATCATCTCACCTGGTTAAATCATCTCACCTGGTTAAATAATCTCTCCTGGTTAAATCATCTCTCCTGGTTAAATCATCTCACCTGGTTAAATCATCTCACCTTGTTAAATGATCTCTCCTGGTTAAATCATCTCACCTGGTTAAATCATCTCTCCTGGTTAAATCGTCTCACCTGGTTAATTCATCTCTCCTGGTTAAATAATCTATCCTGGTTAAATCATCTCACCTGGTTAAATCAGCTCATCTGGTTCAATCATCTCACCTGGTTAAATCATCTCACTTGGTTAAATAATCTCACCTGGTTAAATCATCTCTCCTGGTTAAATCATCTCTCCTGGTTAAATCATCTCACCTTGTTAAATGATCTCTCCTGGTTAAATCATCTCACCTGGTTAAATCATCTCTCCTGGTTAAATCGTCTCTCCTGGTTAAATCATCTCACCTGGTTAAATAATCTCTCCTGGTTAAATCATCTCACCTGGTTAAATCGTCTCACCTGGTTAAATCATCTCACCTGCTTAAATCATCTCACCTGGTTAAATCATCTCACCTGAATAAATCATCTCACCTGGTTAAATCATCTCACCTGGTTAAATCGTCTCACCTGGTTAAACCATCTCACCTGGTTAAATCGTCTCACCTGGTTAAATCATCTCACCTGGTTAAATTGTCTCACCTGGTTAAATCGTCTCACCTGGTTAAATCATCTCTCCTGGTTAAATCGTCTCTCCTGGTTAAATCATCTCTCCCGGTTAAATCATCTCACCTGGTTAAATCATCTCTCCTGGTTAAATCATATCTCCTGGTTAAATCGTCTCACCTGGTTAAATCATCTCACCTGGTTAAATAATCTCACCTGGTTAAATCATCTCACCTGGTTAAATCATCTCACCTTGTTAAATCGTCTCTCCTGGTTAAATCATCTCTCCTGGTTAAATCATCTCACCTGGTTAAATCATCTCTTCTGGTTAAATCATCTCTTCTGGTTGAATCATCTCACGTGGTTAAATCATTTCACCTGGTTAAATCGTCTCGCCTGGTTAAATCATCTCACCTGGTTAAATCATCTCACCTGGTTAAATCGTCTCACCTGGTTAAATCATCTCACCTGGTTAAATCATCTCACCTGGTTAAATCATCTCACCTGGTTAAATCATCTCACCTGGTTAAATCGTCTCACCTGGTTAAATCATCTCTCCTGGTTAAATCATCTCACCAGGTTAAATCATCTTTTCTGGTTAAATCATCTCACCTGGTTAAATCATCTCACCTGGTTAAAGCATCTCTCCTCGTTAAATCATCTCTCTTGGTTAAATCACCTCACCTGGTTAAATCATCTCTCCTGGTTAAATCATCTCACCTGGTAAAAACATCTCACCTGGTTAAATCATCTCTCCTGGTTAAATCGTCTCACCTGGTTAAATCGTCTCTCCTGGTTAAATCATCTGTCCTGGTTAAATCGTCTCACCTGGTTAAATCATCTCTCCTGGTTAAATAATCTCTCCTGGTTAAATCGTCTCACCTGGTTAAATCGTCTCTCCTGGTTAAATCATCTCTCCTGGTTAAATCGTCTCTCCTGGTTAAATAATCTCACCTGGTTAAATCGTCTATCCTGGTTAAATCATCTGTCCTGGTTAAATCGTCTCACCTGGTTAAATCATCTCACCTGGTTAAATCATCTCTCCTGGTTAAATCGTCTCTCCTGGTTAAATCATCTTTCCTGGTTAAATCATCTCTCCTGGTTAAATCGTCTCTCCTGGTTAAATCATCTCACCTGGTTAAATCGTCTCACCTGGTTAAATTGTCTCTCCTGGTTAAATCATCTCTCCTGGTTAAATCGTCTCTCCTGGTTAAATCATCTCACCTGGTTAAATCGGCTCACCTGGTTAAATAATCTCTCCTGGTTAAATCATCTCACCTGGTTAAATCATCTCACCTGGTTAAATCGTCTCTCCTGGTTAAATCGTCTCACCTGGTTAAATCATCTCTCCTGGTTAAATCATCTCTCCTGGTTAAATC